CAAAACTTAACTGCTCTGACACTAGCTAAATCCAACATTCAAACACTACAGCTGCTTTATGATTATCATCTCAATCCAAAGGGATCAAGTCTGGTAATGAAAATAAGTGACCTGGAAGAAAATTGAGGCCTTTCAGGCAAGACTTAAAAAGTAGAAAACTTCTTCTATTGGTAAGCTTTGAGCTTTGTAACATCATTATCCTCATATACAGACGAAGTCAGGGACAAGGGATGTATGGCTCTCTAAAAAAACACAAACACACAGGTGCGGTCATAAAATGGTGACCTCATGTCAAACATTACAGTCATAATTCATTTCTGTTGACTTTTTCTTGCTCCTTTAGAGAACATCTGCTGGACATTTAGAGGTAATCCACATCAAAACAGGCCTCTGCGTTTCTATAGACCACATTGAGTTATTTATTTTTCCCTCCAAAGGGTTTTGGACAAGCTCTGTCCAGAGAAGATGAATCAGGATCCATGAGAGAACAAAAGGGTTCATCATGAGGTCTTGACTGCCACTGAGGCCACTGCGGGGAAAGGAGAGAAAAACAGTTGAAAATTTTATATTTCACAGTTGTCTTTGAGAAAAGCAACATGAGAAAAGTGATTGCAATTAACGACGTGTGTGAATGAATAAAACAATTTCTGAAACTTAAATTTGAGTAAAGTAAATCAGCTTATTATGATCTCAGTTTTAATGGTTAACAGGGGTTTGAATGAAGCTCTAGAAGACATGATGAATTGTTTTTCTGCTTCTGAATCATTTAGTTTCGGCACCATAGCGGTGAACACCTAGAGCCAGATGTGGGGCAGACACATCCTCCCTCCCTCCCTCTTTTTTGTTCCAGTTTTCCCAACATTTCTGCACTTCTGGGTTCTTTCAACTCCCTTCACCACATAAAGAACACATAAACATCCTCTCCAAGCTTCCATTTAAAACTGTTGGAATGTTATCAATGCTGAAAGACTTCCATTCTCCGGGACGAGTGAGGAATTCTAAGGAGGAGGTGTTTTCTTGCTCTGTCATGACATATTAAATAACTCCACAGTTATCTTGACAGATTAAATAGCGCTGGTTTAACATCTGTTGCACAATGTCTGCTAATCAACTGCAAACATATAGAAGCAAGCAAGTTATGATTTTTTGTAATTTCATACCTGAGAGAATTTCTTGTTTTAATTGGAGTGATTAATGATAAGAAATTACAAGGGAAATGTTACTTTTAACATATTTTGTAGTAATAAACTGATTGTTAAAGCTGCAATAGTAAATTTGGGACACAAACTAGTTGAACACTTCTATCGGTCCTCTATTAATTATAAATATTTTGCAAATTTAGCAACAGAGCACCACTGGTGCGAGAGGTCCGCAGCTCAATTATTTCAGGGATCGCTTCACTGGCTCGCCTGTGCTCTACACATACACAAGCCCAAATTTTCACTTGCACATTTTTCGCGTGTCGCTTGGCGATGTTGCCTGCTGTGTGTCGAGCCCATTAATGTGACCAGTGAAGCTCAGGTCTGAATCAATTATGACACCAAGATTTCTAACTCGAGTCTTTGTTTTGATTCCTTTGTGACCGAGTTGAGCAATAACATCCATCCTATCCTTCTTATTTCCAAAGACAATAACTTCAGTCTTGTATTTGCTTAACTGGAGGAAGTTTGACCGCATACAGCCATTAACTTGCTCCAAACACTAACAGAGTGCTACTCAGGGGACCACAGTCACTAGGTGATGATCTGGGTGTCATCTGCATAACTATGACAGGAACTGTTGTTATTGTTTATGACCTGACCCAGGGGGAGCATGTAGAGATTGAAGAACAGTGTTCCAAGAATTGAGCCTTGGGGGACCCCACAGGTCATGGGGATCAGCTTCGATTTGTGATCACTAATACTGTAGTGGCTAGCTAGCTGCTAACTGATCAGTCCTATAGGATGTAAAAGCCATTTCTCCGAACCAAGGCTGTTCTGAAAGTTGGCTGTAACATAAACAAGCTTAGAACTGTGTTTCAAATTATCACAGTGTCACGCTGCGAGCCAGGAGGAGGTTAGGACCCAAGATGCAGAAACCCAGAGCGACACAAAGGCAGGAGCGAAGTAAAACGTAAAATCCTTTATTTAGGAATAACTGTCCAAAAACCAAAAATCCCAGAAGGGGCAGGAAGCCCAAATCCAAATGTCCAAAAATCCAAAAGAGCAATATCCAAGAGACCTAGAGAAAAAAACCAAATACCTAGAGACCAAGAGGGGGGAACGAGACAACGCTGACACAAACAACAATGAACCGACAACACACTGTAACACAGACAAGGTTATATACACAAGGGCTGGGTGATTAGGGAATTGTGCGCAGGTGAGACTAATAAACAGAGAGGAGGAGCACAAAAGAGCAGGGGAGGAAACCAGACCTAAAAATGGGGAGGGGTGCAAAATGAACTAAAGGGAGAATGTGAGGGAAACCTAGAGAGAACCTGGAGGGGGCTGGGAAACCACAGGGACACAGAAACCGAAGGGGAACACCTAAGGGAAAAACCCTGGAGTGGGCTGGGGAACACAAGGAGGCACATGAGGGGAGACACAGACAAGGAGACACATAAGGGGAAGCTAGAGAGGGATGGAGAACTCAAGGAGAGACACATGAGGGAGACGCAGAACTGGCAGACTATCAATATTTACCAATGGAGCCAAGCTTGGTGGCAAAGTTGTCAGTTAATTTCTACAAAAATGTAAAAAGTAGATAAAGCTAATAAAAACACCTCACAAGTCTGAGTGTGGTTGCACAGAGGTAATGCATTTATAATAACCCCGCAGAGAGATGGCAGATCGTTGTTCCACCTCTGAATCATTTAGTATTAGCACAACTTAAAAGCCAAATGTGGGGCAGGCGTCTTCATGCATCTGTGCTTTTGCAGCATGCCCCACTGCTCCACTTTTGCAAACACCAAGTCTTAAAACAGGACGAGTGTCTTTTGACTTCACCACAAAAATCAAAATTATTCTTCTATATTAGTAATTATTGCATTAATTTTTATTTATTTTTAACTTAATTTTGGATCTGCTTTTTGTTGCATTTCTATTATCCATGCCCTTCTAAAGGTTAAACATTAAAACTGTCAAATAAACAGCTCTAATAACTGTTTTAATAGACTAAAATATTTAATTAAAATGGTTTGTTAAACAATGTAAATTATACTTTCCACGGAAGCCTGAATGTTGGAACTTTAAACAATACAAAACAGTAAAAACTGTTCATTTGTTTTTGGCTCTGCATGATATTGCAATATTTATGAATTTAAATGTTTTTATTATTTCTAATAACTGCGGTGTGCTAACTGCAGTACTTTGATCTTCCACTAGAGGACAGACAACAGGATTTGACACGATTGCTTTCCTGAGGAATATACTAACCATGTTGCGGAGGTAAAGCTCTTAGCGTGTCCGATAAGATGTAGATTTAGTAAAAATGCTTTTGCATGTTTTTGGGATTGTCTTGATTTGTTTGTGTGAGCTTACCTTTGTCATTTAGAGGTTTTTGCTGTTCCATTGCTCTTTACGTACGGCACTTCCTCTTCCAGTTCGTCCTTCTGTCTACAGCCAGAGATGAATAACATAATGTGCTATAAAACAGAAGCATTACACTCTATTCTTAAAAAAATAAAAATTAAACATGAGCCAGACATTTACTTGTGATTGCATGAGGGTGTGTGTGTGTGTGTGTGTGTGTGTGTGTGTCTGTGTGTGTGTGCATGGATTTAGTGGATAGCTTCATAATCACTGTGTAGTCCAACTCTGGTTGGGGTAGCAGACTTTTTGAGTTCATGGCAACTAATTGACTCAAAGTGCAATCTTCTCACTCCCCTACACACACACACACACACACACACACACACACACACACACACACACACACACACACACACACACACACACACACACACACACACTGTTGCTCAAGGCAAACTATAATAATCACCGGAGTCGTTTTAAATCAATGGCGCAGACAAGTCTCTTTTCTCCTTCTCACTTCCTCCCACACACGAGCCTTATTTATTTATTTATTTTATGCTATTTTGTACGTGTGAGTGTTCTGATCTGGGTGGAAGTATCTTATATAATCTATACCATGAACCATTGAGCACTTTCAGTTTGATCTAAATCCACAAAACCCAGCAGCAATGTGGAACAGGATGAATAAATAAACAAACAAATAAACAAATAAATAAATAAATTACTAATAAATAAATCCTGAGGCTCTAGCCTTTTTCGGATGAAACGTTTTGCTTTCCTGTTGTCTTTTATGATTGTTAGGACTTCACAGACATAAAAAAAAACATTATTTTCAAATATGCTGTGATATCAAAACAAAAGTAATGACTATTTCTCTAAAAATAGACATAAAAAATAAACGCTGGTCCAGGTGAGCACTCACGGCTGGATCTTGTTGGAGAATCGTTGTCGCAGGATGAGAGCAATCGTAGTGAGGACCATCATGGTTGTGCACATGGTTCTGACCCAACGTTCTCCAGAAGCTCCTTACCCCATTGAAAGGCTTTGGTGAGGTTTAGGGGAACAACCAGACTACCAGCCTGGTCCTGCCTCGGCTCTCACTCACCAGTGATGTGGGGGGGGGGGGGGGGGGGATTAGTGGCAGAGGATTAGCTAGGATCAAGGAGCGGGCCGGATCTCACTGGCAGGGCGAGGAGGTAAACAGAGCATGCTGTGCTGCTCTTCTGAAAATCTTTCTCTCAGCGTGGGTTTTTGGAAACCACTCAGCTCGTTCCAAACTTGGGAAATAGCAAAACATAACACATGGGATTTTGCAGAGACTCCTGCAACACCGTAGGTGCAAAGTTCCTCCAGTCTGCTATAAAAAGCTGCTAATCAGGGTACAAAGGGGAAGCATGGACGGCTAAGCCACTTATATTTGGTTCTGCTGACTGGCACTGGGAGCAGGAGAGCAGTAGGCCAACGGAGACAGTAAAAAAGGGCAGATTAAAAGGGTATTCTACGTTTTATTTAAAGTATACTCCATTACAGATACAAATGTGATTCCTAATGAAGGAAAAGAGGGATATAGTCCTCACCAGTAACTTTTAAAAATGTAGAAATGTTTCTGTAGTCGCAACATCTACCAAAGTGCACGAAACACACACAGAGGAAACATCTGTAAAATGTTACAATGCCTATAAAGGATCCTGCTTACAGTTGAGTTTCTACACATTCAGTAAAAAGGCACGCCCGAGTCAACTCTGACCTCTCGCCAAGCCCCAGGTTTCCCTCCGAGCCCGGTCTCACGTGAGTTTATCTTCACGAGAGAACAAACACAAGGGAGCTGCTAGGTTATTTTTACACTCTGTCTCTCACAAACACACTGCTGTAGCTATAAAAGAGCACAGTACTTGTTCCTAGTTTGGTATCTCTCTCTCTCTCTCTCTCTCTATATATATATATATATATATATATATATATATCTTTACATTGTCCATGATTATCATAGATTATAATAAAACTGTATTTCCAGATTACAGTCATTGGATTCCTGACGGCTGCAGAGGAGCGTTCGCCTGAGCGGAGACGGTTTCAGCCGGTCGAGGCCGACTGAGGCGTCCAGCCCACCTCCTCGTAGACGGCTTTGAGGCTGCAGCAGAGCGTAGCCAGGAGTTTGGTCCATGCCGAGCCCACTGCTGGTGTCACATCTTCTGGGAATTCCTCACCCAGGACTTCTAGAATAACTCCACTCAGAATCTGAGGACAAACACATCCGGCCTCAGAGTAAATGTGTTTATTTAGAAGAGTTTAACACCAGGAAGAAACATACGCTTACATTAAATGTAGCAAAAACAAAATGCATGTTGTTTGGTATGGCTAATAAAACTGAGGTTAAACTGCAAATAGATGGATGTGAAATTGAGCAAGTAACAGAACATAAGTTCCTTGGAATAATAATTGATAATAAATTAAGTTGGAAACCACAAATTAAACATGTATATGATAAGGTTGCGAGAAGCATCTACATTATGAATAAAGCTCGGCAGTACTTGGACTATAAATCACTCCATGTCCTTTATTATTCATTGATTTATCCCTATCTTATTATACTGTGTAGAGGCATGGGGTAACACTTATAACACATCTATTGTACCCTTGTCTATCATACAGAAAAGAGCCCTGAGAGTCGTTCACAATGTTAGATTTAGAGACCACACTAATCCGTTACTTATATATTCAAAAATACTAAAATTTAAAGATTTACTTCAACTATATACAGCGACGTTCATGTTTAAAGTGCATAGGAAATTATTACCAAACAAATTATTAATGCTATTTATAAAACCAGATAACGTATATAATTTCAGACACAGACTTAACTTTAGGCATACATATTTTAGAACAACATTAAAGTCATTTTGTATTTCTGTTACGGGTGTAAGAGTTTGGAATAAGCTAGGTGGAGATCTAAAGTAAAGTCCCTCATTGCATAAGTTTAAAGAGAAGTATAAAAAAATTATACTAATTAATTACATGGAGGAGGAGGAAAAGTCGTAAGGGTGTTGCATTTGATTGTAATTGTCTATTGTTGGTGAACTGGGAGCTGTGAATATTGGAAGGGGGGGTGGGGGTGAAACATTAAAAAATGTAAATTTTGTTTGTGTGATTGAGGATAAAACATGTTATAAGAAAATGGCAATGACACTCAGTGTAGGGAAAATATATACTTTTTGTTTTATCTTTCTTGAAATTTGATGGGGGGGGGGGGGGGGGGGGGGTTATATAAGTAAGTAAGTTAATCAATTTCCCTCTGGGATTAATAAAGTATTTTTGAATTGAATTGAATTGAATTTGAAGTAAAAGTTTATTTATAGAGCGCCTTTCACAGATATAAATCACAAAGCGCTGTACAAAAAGCTACCAGAGCTCCTTTCCCTTCCTATAGACCCTTTTACTGTTAGTAACCAATATGACGTCAGCGAGAAAGCGCGCATAGCTTGGCAACAGAGAATGGCGTTGTGTCAGGCTTTATCAAGCTACGCTGCGGGGTTATCACCGGCAAATCTTGAATGTTATATTATTAAACTCACTTTAATGAATGGCAACAGACTCCCGGATCCCTGTGGCATTACGGAATGGGTGGAAGATGTAGGTGCGTGGCCAGATATCCAATGGCCTGATATATATATATATATATATATATATATATATATATATGTATATATACGTTTTTAGTGGAGAGGCCCAGTAAGTACACACGTGAGAAGCTACGGGCATACAAGTCGTTAGATGCATACAACTATGTTGTCTGTGGCCACGTACAGAAAGTAAAATATCACGACATAGACTCTGAGTTTTGCGTCTTGAAGGCAGAAGTCCTTCCTAGCCAAAGACAAGGACACAAGACTGCTATGTACGAGGCTTGGGCCATAGTAAACAAACCAGAGAACTACGTCTTCACAGCCAACTGTACCTGCATGGCAGGGTGAGTATAGCATAGTTTTCTTTTTTTAGCTTGCTCAGAGTACAATCGTGTTAATTTTTAGAGAAATACAATTTATACTAATATGCAGTGGGAAAATACAGATGAATTAGAATGAAATATTAATTTCATTTGCAAACCAGCAAACGCAACTTACTTTATCTAATAGAACACACGTTAACCAGCTTTCTGGTGTAATCTTAGTACATAATTACCTTACCTGATATAAAATGGGCGCTACAAACTTGAGCATTGCGGATCGTGTTTTCAGTCGTTTTCATTGATTCCTTTTGATGGCCTGCAGCCACAGACGCCTCCGATTTTGTTGAAATGGATGTGCTCCCTTCGGAATTCTGTAAAGTTTCAGTCCACTGCTTGAAGAGAAGCAATTCTGGCATCCATACACGCAACAACCCGACATTTTTATGTGCTCAGAACTTCAAAAAAAAAAAAAAAGGGTTTAAAACGCTGTTTTAGTATCGAGTGTGAATGAGGAAGCCTTCACTCTCGTTGCCAGGCTGCGTGCGCAACTTTTGATGACGTAGGTAGTAAAAGGGTTTATTGAACATGTTCTACATAAATATATATGCATATACATATGTATGGGTTTCTTTTTAATTATTTTTGAATACTTTAAATTGTCTATTGATTTACATGTTCAATAAAAAAAGAAGAACACGGTGGTAATTTTCTTAATGCGACGGTGGTTCTGATCAACCATCTTCATTCAAACTAGCAGTATAGATAATAACTAGAAAGTGTCTCTGCCTAGTTTTGTTCTTTTGGAAGGAAAACAAAGAATAACAAAATAAAAAAATAAAGTTTTTTTGTTTAATTTTTTGTCAACCAAAAGTAAAATAACTTTATTGAACAAAATGAAAGGGATTAAAACGGGTGCTACAGCCAGCCACTAGGAGCCACTGTGGTTCATCTAGTATCTAGCTACTGCATTTATTTCTTCTGTTTAAATATTCACACTAATAAAAAAAGATAAACTTGAGTAATAACATAGAGTTTGACCTTTGGTGTAACATTTTGTGAGAGGTTACTTGACTAAAAAACATATATTTGTGACTTTTAATGAATTTTTTTGCCCAATCACTGTTTAAATGTTTATTTTAAAGCAATTATTTCCAATCTTTTAAAGGTTTTGAGGTTACAAACATTAGAAATAAAACTGTTATTAATTTTTTTGATTTCATATATTTGAAGAACCTCAGTTTTGGGAAATGGATATTATTGAGTTGATTTAACAGCTAAAGGCCACAGCCGAGCTTAAAGTGGATTACTCTTAAAACTCTTAAGCCTGGGGCACACCGGAGGCGGAGCCTTGCCACGTCGCGCCGGAGATTTTGACACAAACTCAACCGTCGGTACAAACCAAGTGCCCACAAAGGACACGCTGCTGAGCGCTTCTTGGAAAGTTGCAGGGTGGTCACAGCATCACGTGGGACTTGAGAACAGAAAGTGGGAAGTGACTCCATTTATACTTGATCAGACTTGCCTTCGTGTTTTGTGAGGCTCGAAATTGAAAAATGGGTAAGTACGCTATTTATTTTAATATTTTAAGATCAATAGTACTTTAAAGTTATCTAAACTGCGGCTGCGTTTGTACCGGCGGTCGAGTTTGTGTCGTAAAGCTGTTCTGCGTCGTAATGTCTGTTGTAAAGTACTCCACCGTGTTGTAAACACCCACGGCGCCGCTTGAGATAGAACTGGTGCCTATCCTCAGCGCCTCGGCGCTCCTGGGACGCGACGCTTCCCGTGTGCCCACTCTCATTAACTATAACGGCTTCTATTCAAAACAACAGCGCGACCGCCACCGGTGTGCCCCAGGCTTTAGTGGTTAGTTTGCATTGTCATCAGTTTCATATTAATCTGGTATTTAGAAAGATTCTGTGATTGTTTGTGCTGTTAGCGGCTGCAGCAACAGCTAGCATCACTCCTAGAAATGATATAAAAACTTTTCTGCCAGATTAAACACAGAAAATATGAGTTAAACAAGTAAGTGTCACGTAAGCATTTATACAATTTTTAGACATTGAAATAATACTAGACAACCAATTGGACTAGCCGTTAGCTTATCAATCCCAGTCACAACTCATTGAAGAATTCCAAAGAACTATCTACAACAAATTTCAAGTCTTCTTCTGTCAGTTTTCTTTACCTTAAAGTAGACGGGGTCCACGTTGTGTCTGAGTGCGTGGGCTTTCCCCACCAACTTCAGCACCGAGGCCATCTTCTCTGAGTTGTCAAGGTTCTCCACCAGCGTGTTGATGGCGTTCATGATTCTGTGAGCATGTTTCCTGAGCTGGGAACTCTGCTCCAGCTCCCTCGTGTCCTCAATGTGTTTGAATTGGCTGAAGTACTGCTTAGATGAGGGGAAGTTCACAAACAGCCTGAAAGAGGAGAGATATGGGAAATGAGAGATTTACTACCAACACTTCCCTTTTTCTTTCACCCTTCACTTTGAACCAGAGAAGACTAAACTATTCAGTTCTGCTTAATAAAATTACAAATTCTTGTTCAGGATTATGCAGACTGTATCCAACTGCAGAAGTGTGTTTTACAGGTGTGAGAAACTCGTTTAGAATAGATTAGACTTTATAGATCCCACAGCTGAAAACTTTGCTTGTCACAGCAGCATCAACACTTAAGAGAATAAGTTGAAGAAAAAAATTATAACAAATAACATTGAGAGGAGCCAGTTGAGGTGGCTCAGGCATCTGAAGAAGAAGAAGAAAGAAGAAAATATCATTTCTATAGCGCCTCTCAAGATAAAAATCACGAGGCGCTTCACAAAAACAAAAACAAAAAATGTAAAAATTGTAAAAATAGAAAAAAAGCATTTTGAAAATGTTTAAAAATATATTTAAAATGAGCAAGAATAAGCAATTGTGATTTAAAAGAAAAAATGTTAAGAAAGAGAGAGAGAGTGAATAGGAAAGAGGGAAATCAGTGGATCCTGAGGAAGGTGGAATAGGTGGGGAGAGCAGAATAAATAGAGTGGTGAAGAAGGTCATACAAAAGCCAGCTTGAACAAGTGAGTCTTCAGCTGCTTTTTAAAGGAGACCACTGAGTCCACTGATCTCAGGCTCAGGGGGAGCGAGTTCCAGAGTCTGGGGGCCACAGCAGCAAATGATCTGTCACCTTTGATCTTTAGCCTGGTGCTGCACAACCAGTAGGCTTTGATCACTGGACCTCAGGGACCTGCTGGGGGTGTAGGGACTAAGAAGATCACCAATGTAAGATGGTGCTTGTCCATGTAGGGCCCTATAGACCAGAACCAGGATCTTGAAATGAACCCTGAAGTTGACTGGCAGCCCGTGAAGCTGGAGGAGAAGCGGGGTGATGTGGGTGTGTTTGGAGGACTTGGTCAGAAGCCGAGCACAGGCATTCTGAACCACCTGTAGACGGTTCAGGGAGGTTCTGCTCAGACACGTGAAAAGAGAGTTACAGTAGTCTAAGCGTGAGGAGATGAAGGTGTGTGTGACAGCTGCCCTGCTGCCACACTTCAAGCAAATAACTGTTAATGTTTTATTTTGAACAAAGGTGTTTGTTTCCATGGATTGACTGTTTGGGTGACTGTATGAAGTGCACACATTCAGTTACTCATCGGTTTTAGTCTGTAGGGGTTTGATGATTAATATGTTTTCTTTGAGTTGCCAGTGGCCTTGGAGTTGGAGCAGCTGTAGCAGATCACTTGGCCTAATCAGCACCATTGGATCATACCAACTCAAGGGAGAAGATTCCTGTGTTTATGTATTTAGTTATTGTCTTTTGTAAATAATAGTTGGGTTTTGATAGTAATATGTTTTCATTTGAAGTAACTCAAACAGAATGGACTGATTAGTATGAATTGGTTAGCAGTAGTTTATTTATGTTCTTTGTTTACTGATGTCTCCCACCCTATTGTGTTGGCAGTGGTCTGATCAGCCACTATATAAGTTGATCCTGTTGTGTCTGTAGGAGGTTATTTTTTGTACATGTCTGTAGTCAGATCCTGAGTTTGGGTTACTTTGTTTCTACATCCATTGTCATGTAATGTTAATTGCTGGCTGGAACCCTCTTTGGAGAAAAGAAAAAAAGTAATAAATTAACATGTCAAGAAAATCATCCGTGCTCTGCTGGCTGGTTTATGCAAGTCCCTGACAGTGTGGATAACTGTCTCAAGTTCAGAGCAGGACAGAATGGGACTCAGCTTAGCAATGTTCCTGAGATGGAAGAAGGAAGAGTGAACAAGAAAACTGGCTTGAGAATCCAGGGTGAGAGCTGGGTCAAAGGTCACGCCAAGATTCCTGACGAAAGGTTTGGTGTGGGAAGCAAGCTGACCAAGAGAGTCTCTGACTTTGGGAACCAGCTTGTCTTGGGCACAGATGAGGATCTCAGTCTTATCTTCATTCAGCTGAAGAAAGCTCCCAGCCATCCAGGTTTTGATAGAGTCTAAGCAGGTGTGTAACAGCTGCAGCTTAGACATCTCATGAGGCTTAAAGGAGATGTACAGTTGGATGTCATCTGCATAAAGATGGTAGGAGATGCCTTTGATGGTCAGGATGATTCCTGGGCGCCTCCCTGGTGAGGTTTTCCGGGCACGTCCAACCGGGAGGGAACCTAAAGGTAGACCCAGGACACGGTGGAGGGACTATGTCTCTCACCTGGCCAGGAAACGCCTTGGGATTCCCCCGGAGGAGCTGGCCCAAGTGGCTGGGGAGAGGGAAGTCTGGGCCTCTCGCCTTAGGCTACTGCCCCCGCGACCCGACCCCGAATAAGCGGATGAAAATGGATGGATGGATGAATAACAAAGGTACATGTTTATACACACAAGCAGTAGTCTAGAATTGTAACCTTTGACCATTAAAAGCCAGGAATAATAAAGGACAAACTTGGGTTTCAACATAATTCAGCATACTGCAAAAGACAGAAACACACTATGTAAATCTGGTATTTAACAAGTATTGAACACATACTGAGTATTGCATTGATGTTTTTGTGTACCAGGATAATGCCAGTACCAGTTAAACTGAGGAGTTCTACACCCTGTAGAGGGGATGAATGACCTACGGTAGCGTTCTGTTTTACATCTTGGATGTTTACGTCTGCCTGTGAAGGAGCTGTCCATGGTCTCCACAGTGGAATGCAGTGGGTGGGAGTTTTTTTTAATGGAGTTATCTTCCCCAGCATCATCCTTTCACACATCTTCTCAACTGAATCCAGTGGGCAGCTCAGAACCGAACTAGCTTTGTGAACTAGCTTGTTCAGCCTCTTCCTGTCCCAGTCAGAGCTGCCTGTACCTCAACAGACCACAGCAGAGGGGATAACAGAGCCAACCACAGAGTGGTTAAAGGATTTTAGCAGCTGGGAATTAACTCCAAAGGACCTCAGCCTCCTCAGGAGGTGGAGGCAGCTTTGGCCCTTCATATACAGAGCATCTGGGTTGTTGTATCCACCACCTCAATGTCTGCTCCCTGGATTTAATCAACACTTTTGCAGTTGTCTCTGGTAGGAATGAATGTCTTGCAAACCATATGTGGGGCAAAAAAAAGCCCAGAATTGTCATTGATCAGCACGGACAAGTTTGCCGCAGCGAAGGGTGGCAGCAGATGGCAGGATTTGGTGTCTTATTTCCTGATATTTGGACATCTCGCCTCTGATTTAATAACAGCAACATTACTGTACCACTTACTCTGCAACATTGATGTTTTATCTCCACAAATAACTCAAGCCTGGAGGAGCTTCTGCCAAGTGTTTGAGTGGCTAATGCTAACAGTTAGCTTACGTATTTTGCTTTTTGCTGCATGTTAAACAACAACAGCCTCCACCGCGAGTCAAGATGGGTGAGTCCGTGATTGTTAAGTAACAGTGGGACGTAGATCTGTCAGACCTTTCAAATCCGAGAGTTTCACCGTCTATTTTGTATCAAGCTAATGCAGGAAAACTAATCAGAAATGATCATTAACAATAGTTTCCACACCTTCAAACACATTAGTTTAAAGCTGAATGAATCAAAATAAATGACTACAACCCTCTTTGTTCCACAAGAGAGGAGCCTGATAGCTACAAGATCTGCCTTCCATCCTAATTTTAGATATTCTGGGAACCACCAGTAAACCTGCAGTCTGAGAGCGAAGTGCTCGGTTAGGAACGTATGGAACAATCAGATCACTGATGTATGATGGAGCTTGATTATTAAGAGCTTTATATGCGAGAAGGAGGATCTTAAAATCTATTCTGAATTTAACAGGTAGCCAATGTAGGGAAGCTAAGACAGGAGAGATATGATCTCTTTTTAATTCTCATCAGAACTCTAGCTGCAGCATTTTGGACAAGTTGAAGACTTTTGACTACATTCTGTGGACTTCCTGAGAGTAATGAATTACAGTAATCCAGTCTTGATGTAATAAATGCAGAAACTGGGTTTTCAGCATCACTCCTGTAAAACGATTTTCAATTGTACCTTTGAAAACCTTTACACCACCATCAAATTCATCTTTCATTATTGAAGTTCTCTAGTTATTTATATATATAAACATCTCCATCAGAAGCAAAATGAAAGTGCTACAGGAACTGTAAAAGGTGAAGTTGGAAATGTACCATTTTACAAAGTGCTATGTGCTTGGATCAACTGGAGCTGTTTTAGGATGGCAGCGGTTCCCTTTTGGCTTGGCTAAAATCATACTAGCCGTACCTCCAAATGAGACATTGTGTGACTTCTAAATTTAAGGACGTTCCTGAGAATGATATTTTAGGTGATATTAAAATGCCACGTGATCGCCACACTGCTTCGGTGTTTTATAAACTGTTTAATCATGGTTTAAGTGGGGAGTCTTTAGGCATTAAACTACTTTGGCAGTGGGACTTAGAAACAGAATACACAAATGAAAAATGGCTGAATGTCTTATCAGACAGTGGTAAATATGTGAAAGAGGCTAGAAGTAAATTTATACAGTACAAGGTGTTGCATAGATACTACCATACTCCTTCCAGGTTACATAAAATGAAACGAATGCCAAATTATTTGTGTTGGAAATTAACAGTGAAATAGGGACATTTCTACATTGTTTTTGGGAATGCTCTATGGTTTTACCCCTTTGGACTGATGTCCTGGAAATCCTGGGTGCTTGGTCTGGCATAGAGGTCCCTCAGACCCCGGATCTATGCTTACTGGGAGACAGATCCCAAATACCAAATGTTTCAAGAGGAACCTTCTGCATTATTACGGTCGGACTAGTTACAGCATCCAGGATTATATTAAGACATTGGAAGACTAAAGTGCGCCCTGGGATTGATGAATGGATTGCGGCGATGGTGGAAACAGCTGCTTATGAGGCCATGCTCAGCAACCTGAAAGGGGACAAGGACACAGACTGGAACAGCTTTTGGGGAACATTGAAAAATGTTACATAAAACTTTGAAATCTAATGCCGCACTGCCTGGATTTGGATTCCTAGCTGACTCCGAATTAAATATGGCTACTGGTCTATGTAGCTGTAATAGCTGAACCCGAACCTCTTAGAATCGTTGGTACCCAGGAAAGGAAGGGGGGGGGGGGGGGGGGGGTGCACAAGCCTGCGTGCTTTCTTTAGTTTTTGTATGTTCTTGTACTTTATAAAAGTTCTGAAAATAACAAAAACTTTAATTATAAAAAAAATTATACTAGCCGTTAGCCCATCAGTCTATGTATAAGGTTTATGCAAAAAAAAATTCTGAAATGGCAAAAATACCAGAAGGTCAGATACATGCAAGGAATATATAATTTATTAAAAAAAAAATAAAGTCTGGGAACAAAGTATGAACTTGCCTTATAATTACCTTAAAATACAAATATCTAAGCATTATTATTTTTACTATTATTATTATTAGTATTATTATAACACTTATGGCTCCAACTGAATGGAATAAAATGCCCTTGTTTTGGTTTTCTCCCCCTCTTTTTTTGGGTCATGAGGTTAAAGATAGTTTATTTTTTATTACTTTAGGTGGACCAGATGTTCTTGCCTGAAGTATTTTCTTTAACTCCTTACTGTGATGTAATGCTGCCCGTTGATGTGGTGGTTACAGTGTTGCTTCAGAGCAGGGCTTGATCTGGTTTGAATCTAGTCAGGGTGGAGTTTGCACATTCCTCATATATTTGTGTGTGTGTGGGTGTGAATGCATGAATGTGTGTGCTTGTGTGTGTGTGTGCGTGTATGTGAATGCATGAATGTGTGTGTGTGCATGTGTGTGTGTGTGTGTGTGTGTGTGTGTGTGTGTGTGTGTGTGTGTGTGTGCGTGCATGTATGTGAATGCATGAATGTGAGTGTGTGTGTGTGTGTGTGTGTGTGTGTGTGTGTGTGTGTGTGTGTGTGTGTGTGTGTGTGTGTGTGTGTGTGTGTGTGTGTGTGAATGCATGAACGTGTGTTTGCTTTGAGTTTCCCTCTTGGCCCAAAAGCATGCACATTAGGCTAATTGGTGACTCTAAATTGAGTCCTGCGATAACTGTCTTGACTTTAAAACACACTTAATATTCATTAGAAACTGTTAATAAAATGTTGAGTTGCAGAACTGAACGCCGCTGCTCATTAAGCAGCCACAGCTGTAGCAGCGGATCCACTGATTTCCCTCCTTCCTATTCTCTCTCTCTCCCTCTCTCTCTCTCTCTCTCTCTCTCTCTCTCTCTCTCTCTCTCTCTCTCTCTCTCTCTCTCTCTCTCTCTCTCTCTCTCTCTCTCAACACTTTTTAATCACAATTGTCTATTTTCTGCTCATTTTAAATATATCTTTAAACATTTTCTAAATTCTTGTTTATATTTTTAAATTTTTTGTTTTTGTGAAGCACCTCGTGATTTTTATCTTGAGAGGCGCTATAGAAATGATATTTTCTTCTTCTTCTTAAGGCGTCCACGTGCACATCTGGTTTCTGCACGAGACTGCGACTACCTTCTCTTCTCAGCTGTGGGTCCAGATTACAAACTCTTTTTGCTATTTCTGAAAGCAAATAATTGAAAGAAGTTTTCTTTAGTCACACCTCTGCTTGACCCTCTGAGGTATTGTAGTGAATTACAGAGGAACCAATAGGAACTCGCCCTTCACACCGTCTGAGAAAAGGGCCAAAACATCTCATTTCTGGCTTTCATGGAACCATTGCTTTTCTGTGGGATCTGAAGCTCATATCAGGAGTTGGACATGTGCAGTGGGGAGAAGGTAGTGTGACTTCTGAGGGCTTCAGGAAACGCTGGAGCACACCTGTCCCTTGTTTTTCTGCAAACTAATGAGGAACGACAGTGTTTAATCTCTCTATCTCGTAATTGCGTGACCTGTGGTTGCATATAAATAGCCTAATTAGAATTTTTTGTGGTCAGTGGACTCCTAATCCTTCCTTATCTTATTTCCAGAATAATTGAAGAGCAGAATTGGAAGACAGTTTCTAATTTCAGAGAGGGAGTGTTTTGATTTGCTCCTGTGGATCTTATCTGTTTGCCCCCCTCTAAAAATGACTGTGAATTTGAAGGATTAGCGTTAGCATTGAGGCTCTACAGAGTGACAGGTTCTATTTTTACTGCCGAACGGAAATGTTCCCAGAGCCACGATGGAGACCTGACGGCTGTGAAGTCTGTTTAGAAGTAGAAAAGTGGAAATGGATCCAAATTTCTTCTCCTCTGACAACATTTCATGAATGTGCTGCAGCTGAATCCTGTTATTCAGCCATCTGTGATGAATGCACATGCATACCGCTCTCCACTCACCCTCGCTCACGTTTAACCTCGTGCAATCAAATGGGATTATTAAGGCGCGCCGTGTCGTGCTGTGAATCTCGTCACACATGAAAAACTGTCAAAGGCTTTACACATCATCCCTGCAGATGGTTGACTTTTGCAACATCTCCTCTTCACAGATATCGGTGTTCACATTTAACCAGCGTGTGCAGGAATCCTCCAAAAGCAACAAGCCTGTTTTTGTTTTCCTGGGAGACTCAATATTCCCGCTGATGGACTCACGCTGTTGGAGGGCGAATGAAAACACGACCTGCTCTCTGAGAGGTCTGAATATTATCTACCTCTGTCATATGATGGATGGATCAGGAAAACAGAGGGATCAGAGCAACAAGCTTATTCAACTTTATCTTGCGCAGAACTCTGGGGTAGAACATCCCATAATTTGGACTCTGGCCTGACTCAGATATAAATCTTTTCATTTTACAGGGAAATTAGGTCATCCAGGGACTGACGAGCAGCAGGTGCATGGCTATCACTGAGCTCAAATTTGATCAACTAAAAGTGAAGGGTCAAATGTGAATAAATGCAAATATATATATAAATATTAAAGATTAAAATCTGAGATCCAAAACTACAAACTGCTGATTTTAATACCTGATCAGGATGGCCACTCCGACATCCTCACAGTTCTGGTAGACTTTAGCCCACGAGTCCTGGATCATCACCCTCTCCTTGTCAGTCAGAGGGATCGGTCTGTCCAGCTCCAGCTCCAGGTGGTCCACCTCTCCCTGCTTCCTCTCCATCTGGAAACACAGTGTGTAGTGAGCTGAGCACATGCAGCAGGCAGGCAGGCAGGGCTGATGACAGTGCCCCTCCCCCAGAATAAGCACAATTTCTACCTTTTTCCTTTCCGAACCTCTCTCTAAGTGAGAAAAGATGAGACTCAGTTTGGTCGTTGCCACTCCGTGAGGAGCTCTGCTCTCTGAATCTCAGCTGAGCGAGAGTGTGAGTGAGAAACCGGTTGAGAAAACACAAGCGAACGAGGAGGAGCCTCTCTGTGGAGCTCTCTTTTACATGTCCCCTCCTTACCCTCCACCCCCAGCCCCACTCAACCACCTTACCTTTTTGGAGGTGTTATTTGATGAAAAAATAGATGAGATTAGACATAAATCCCCAGTAGGTGCGCCAGATAAGCCATGCGTGCAGCCTAAGAGCGTGAACATAATATCATAGTAATACTATCAGAGGGTGTTTTTAAATAAGATAAAGCAGCACATTCTGTGCTAGCCCAGGGACCAGATTATGTTGGTGTGTTTTCAGTCCGTTTTTCATTAGTTTACAGGTTTCATGAGCATATACCCTCGATACACCCACACATGCACTCTCCAGCTGTATGGTGGCAGTTGTTCTCAGTGGGAAGGCAAAATCTCACTTGTGTTGTGTCAGTTCAAAACAAACACATATATATTTACATAGTTGTGCCATAAAAGGTGGGACGTTTTAGCCAGGAATCTAGGAATGTACCATCAAATAAAACGCAGCAAAGCAATCGTTATGCAACCGAAGCTAAACGTGAGGAGATGTGAGGTGACCTAGCGAACAGACCTGTGTTAAACATTGACACGCTTCTTGATAGCGAGTCAAACTCGGAACAAGAAGGACTTCCGGGTGACACACGCCCACTTGTGGAAAAATGTGCAAATATCTCAGCAAAAGCAGCTTTGTTTTCAGAAACAGCAGCTGAGCTATTGATGGTCAGTCATTACACACGAATGCTTAATATTTACCCTTATTACAGGGTGAATGTTTTCTCCTAGTTGGGCTTGAGTCTCTTGTCATTGGACCAAGAGATAGACCAATAGATTGGAGCTTAAAATTGTGGTTAAAAAGAAGTTGTCCATAACTAGTCCTTCTACGTTCCACCCCTCGGCTATCGCAGAAATTTAAACATGAATGAAAGACTGTGATCCTTAAGGCCCGTATCCACTACTAGACATTCAGGGTAACTTTACCGGATCTTTGCCGTATGCATGTATCTCCATTTCAATGGGTCGGCTCAAAAAGACCCTTTTCCAGGCATTTCAGGAACTAACACAGTACCCGAACTGGGGTACGTTTTCGGAAATGGCCTGGTAGAATCACTAAATGGGACTTGTGATTGCTGATTGGTTGTAACTCAGTAGGAAAGGATATCGGCAGACATCACCAAAGAGTGCATGAAAAACAAAATAAGCTGCACTAATGCTGCTTTAAAATTGTGGATAGTAAATTTCCAACACAGAAAAATGCAATGGAAATCCGCCCACAACACAGCCACTCCCCCGGTTTTCAAAATGGAGTCATTTAAGGCGTACTTTAACAGAACAAAACTTTTAATGTTAATAATGTTATTGGATATTTTACTATCCGTGTTAGCTCTTGTGATTTTACATGCTACATATTTGAATCCTTCCAGTGTTTGCTCTGTGGAGCCCTCTGCCTTGGGACCAGTGGTCAGTGGCAGCGGCTGGGGCGCTCCTTGGGTAGTGCCCAGGTAGTGGTGGCGGTTGCCACCCTCCCTCCCAGGGCGCCCTGGATTGGTTTCTTGGCTGCTGCCATGGATCTGCTGCTGTCGAGGCGGATGGCTCCATTGATGGCGTGTCTTTATTTACCTGTCCATTCTGGGTTCAGCCTAGTGTTGACTGTGGTCTTTTAATGTGTTATGCTTATGAGCGTGTGTGTGTGTGTGCCTGGGAATGGTTTGTGGATTTTAAGGTGAAACTGTCATAATTGTTTAAAGTGTGGGAAAGGGAGGGAATGTGGGTTATATGGGTCATTTGTATCTGTTAAGCACTTTGTGTTGCTTGCTTTGCATGAAACGTGCTATATAAATAAAGTTTGATTTGATTTGAATGTCCGTGGGTGTCTTTTGGTGTTGATCAGTGACATCAGTCACTGTCTAATTAGTCGCCATATGCTGAAATCTTAGCAAAGCCCCGAAAGGCCCGTTTTTGTATGGGGACACAACAGCTGAAAAGACCGAGCCATCGTTTCTCCTGGTCACTTTTCTCCCTCTCTGAAATTTCCCAGAAGTTCTATTTTGTTGTGCTTCCTGACTCAATTCGGAATCACGCTTGGAACCAGGTGCAGAAACGGTTTTCCCTGCAAAGTTCTCACCAAAGCAATGTACGACTGAGGCTGCACTGTTACTAGATCACTTCTGGTAGTGTGTGGGAGTTAGGGGAGAGAAAACAGAGTCTCCTAAGAGGCTGCTGGGTGTGTGGTGAGTCTCTCAATCTCAGGATGGAGAAATGAGAGCAGAGAAGACTGGGGCAAGCTGGTGGAGTCCAGAGGATGCTGGAGCTGCAGGGAACAACGTGGAGGAAGTGTGGTTTGGAGTGTTCTCTCTGAAAAGACTGCAGACGATGGAGTTGGACGTGGGAGCATTAATGAAGTCAAGGGAAGGCAGACACAGTAATTTTGCCAAAAGCACAAACAGGAGGAGCAGAGAGTGGTTGTCCTACAGCTCCGAAACTGCTGTTAAGAGAATAAGCTACAGGAGCAGGATGGACCAAGTCAGGAACACCCCCCGCAGAGAGACTCACATTAGCACAAAAATACACTCACACACCAGAATCACGAAAGCTGTCTTCAGAAGATGGCTAAAGCGAATAGCTCCCTCATCCAGGGGGGCTTTAAGTGCAGCCTCTGCTCCTTTGAATCAAAAAGAGTCATCTCAGGTGGTCCAGCTGTTTGGACAGAATGCCTCCTGGTTGCCTCTGCAATAGAAAATTACTAATATGTTGGGTAGCCAGACTGAGAGTCTACTCCAGATATTGTTGGGTCACATTGTGGTTATTTTAAACAGACAGCTGCTCCTCAGGGCAGATCAGATTTGGTATAGGCATGTGCGTACAGCACCTGTCAAACAAAAAATGGGGCGAGGGGAAATAAAGGAGAAGCTGAAGAACACTCAGTGCTTTTACATGTGCACCTAAGTCAATCCATAGGTCAATCTAAAGTAATTAAACGGGAGCCTTTGTCCTAGTTTACATGGACGTCAGAAAACCGAAATTTTAAATGAAGTTTGTTCCACTCCGGTACAGTAGGTGGCGACATGAGCCATTTCTTGTCAGCATTCTTCCATTTAGCTTATAGCAACACAAATTGTAAGCAAACGCTAGCGTGAGTGAAGCATTTAATAAAAAAATATTTTAGTCTGTTTAAGGCAAAAGTTTGAATTTTAATGCTAATTTCAGAGAATGTGAACTTTAGAGAGGTGGAGGTCCTCAGGAGCAAGACGGATTGTTTGTTTAGAAACCAATCATGATAATGATAAATGACCCACATTTTAATAGCACCTTTCAGTGTGTCAGGTTCGTTGGCAGATCTGAAGCGTGACTGAGAGGATCTGTTGCCCAGACGCGGAGTGATGGAAATAACCGGCGTGGTTATCTCCTGAAGGTTTAGTTTGAAGGTTTAGAGGACTTGTAAGCCTGGAGACTCGGAACAAAGTCTGGTGAGAACGATGACTGAGCAATGAATGAAACGCCGGCACTTCCTTAAGTAGTGTCGGCGTGATGACGTCAGCCGCCACGTTGGTGGCAGGAATGATTGGAATGAAGTCAGCGGGAGGAGTTCATGACAGGACCCCTCCCCTCTAGGGACGGCTCCCGAAGTCCCAGGACGGCGGGCCCAGAAGTCAGTCAGCAGGGTAGGGTCGACAAACGAGCTCGTGGGCTCCCAAGAGCGTTCCTCAGGGCCGTACCCCTCCCAATCCACGAGGTACTGCCAACCACGTCCCCGGCGGCGAGCGTCCAGAATCCTGCGGACCGTGTAGGTGCGATCCGCCTCAACCCCGCGGTGCGGAGGCACCCGGGCCGGCGGAGGGTGGAGAGGAGAGGAGCTCACCGGCTTAAGCTGGGAGATGTGAAAGACCGGGTGGATCCGGAGAGCAGCCGGGAGGTGCAGATGGTAGGTGACTGGATTGATGACTCTGAGGACAGGGAATGGACCCAGAAAACGAGGAGTGAGCTTCCGGGAGCCAGCCGGCATCCTCAGGTTAGCGGAGGAGAGCCACACCTGGTCACCAGACCGGAAGACGGGGCCAGGCAGGTGGCGGCGGTGATGCTGACGGGCATACTCCGTGTTGGCCCGGGTGATGGCCGCACGGGCCCGGATCCAGGCGAGCCGACAGCGGCGGACCAGCGTCTGGGCAGCAGGGACCTCCACCTCGGGCACCTGATGGTCAAACAGAGGAGGCTGGTACCCGTAACAGGTCTCGAAGGGAGACAGACTTGTGGCAGAGGAGGTCTGGAGGTTGTGTGACAGCTCCGCCCACAGGAGAAAGCGGGGCCAGGTGGTCGGCTGGGACAAAGCGAAGCAGCGCAGGTAGCATTCAAGCTGCTGGTTAGCTCTCTCTGTCTGACCATTTGTCTGCGGATGATACCCAGAGGACAGGCTGGTGGAAGCACCGACCAGGCGACAGAACGCTTTCCAGAAGCGTGAGACGAACTGGGGTCCTCGGTCGGAAACCACGTCCTGAAGGAAACCATGGAGCCGCACCACCTGTTCCAGGAGCAGTTTGGCTGTCCTCTTGGCAGTGGGGAGGCCGGCCAGGGCCATTAAGTGCACGGCCTTGGAGAAACGGTCCGTGATAGTCAATATAGTGTCCAGGTGGTCGACCGCCGGCAGTCCTGTGACAAAGTCCAGCCCGATGTGTGACCACGGCCGCTTGGGCACAGGGAGAGGCTGTAACTCTCCAGCGCCGGGTCGGTTGGAGGACTTGGAGCAAGCACACACATCACATGCAGCGGCGAACTCGCGGATGTCCTTCCTCATGGACGGCCACCAGAGAGCCCGGCGGAGGAACTGGAGGGTACGGGCTTGTCCTTGATGTCCCGCGAGCCGCGAACAATGCCCCCACGTGAGCGCCTCTTGTCGGCAGGAGGCGGGAATGTAGAGACGGTTCGGTGGAGTCTCCGGCGGCGCAGGATCGCCAGGAAGTGCTGCCCGTATGGACTGCTCCAACGGCCATTGGAGGGAGGCCAGGAAGCGTTGAGTTGGTAGAATGGT